ACCTCGACACGTGATATCGAAATGGGCGAAATCGCCTCTTGATATCACTAACTCTCCTGACCTGACGCCTATACCGATGAGTTCAGTCGATGCCCATCCCCGAGCAAAGGAACTGTTACTGTACAACTCGACGGTAGAGCCCATAGAAGAGCACAGAGCAAATGTAGCTGGGTAAAAGTTAAATTGGAAACACTCTAGTTGGATACTACAGGGAGATTCAGCTTATATTAACGTTTCATCCTAGCAGTTTAGGCTTAATATATGTGGATAGCTAGGCTAGCAGACAATGCCATCTTGCTATTCTAGAAGTACACTTATTGTAGTCTGCTTTCTTTCCATTGCTTTTGCTAGTAGGTCTAACCTAATGACATGGACTGGCTTAACTCAAGCCACTTGATGTCCCAGAAGGGATGGACTGTGTGCCTAGATCACAATGCAGAATTGTGCTTTGATAATGGAATCCAAGGCATGTGAGGGGAGAGAGAGAAAGGTCATTTGTAATTCAGGAAAGCTTGAAGCTTATTTTGTACAGGATTTGGTGTTGATCTAAAGCTAATGAACAGTTGTGAGAGGGGGGGGGGGGGTTATGGAACCGTGTTCTATATCTCACAGATATGTAAACAAGAAGACTAGAATATTCAGCTTTGTGACTGAAGGCTAATGTCTAACAATTCTTTAGTGTATGATTATTCTCAGAGAAGTTTTTCTTGCCAACACAGTTGTGAGGGATTTGTGAGCTAGCTTGGTAAGTTAAACTAGTTGTTGGTGTCTAAACATTTGATCTCTTAGGCTATTATCTATGGCTATTAGCCATAGACACCTAAGATAGATAGATTAGCTTCATACACAATTTGATCATGTGATATATTCCTTTTCCAAGTTAACAGGATCTATTTGGGTAGACTGAATGGGTTTTTCCTTTAAAATTCCAATTTGATGCATGAACTGAATTAGAAAACGTACAAAGTAAATCTCTTTTCCCTGTAGGCCAATTCATGTTCAGCTTCTTTGTGTAGAGTATTAATTTGCCCACAGATGTGGTGAAATTAAAGTCAATATACATGTACAAATATACCACTGTTAGTTGATAAATACTACTAGGCCAAGAGGCCTGACTCCTGGTTACTCACGTTGTGATGAAACTAATACAAACAATGGAACTAAGAGAATAGGCCACTGGCACAGAAACAGGGAAAATTTCCAGCTATGAAAGACCCCCATGAGGGAAAATTGAAAACAACTGTTACCTTAGAACTGGTGAACTTCCTAACCTCTTTTAGGCTTGTGAAGTAGAATGTAATTTTATCAGTGTGAGCTGGAAGACTTGAAGTAGTTCCTTCATTGAAGGTTGTTTGGTACATATGTGAGTGAAGGGGGTTCTTCAGGTGAAATGTGTAGACACCTTCAAGCTGATCTATGTCTTCACTTACACCAAGATGTCTGTTTGTCAGAGCATATGATGTTTGTTATCTGCCTGATATCACAATCTATGGGGAAGTTTGTTGGACTGAATGCAGATTGCCTTTAACTGCTTAAAGTAAAATGAGGAATCTTTACTAGAAGAGGAGTGTATCTGTATTCTGTATAAGGAACTACTAGCTTATCTTGTCAACAAATTAGTTTGTAATTATGATTAATGCCAAAGCATTTTGGAGTGGAATGTGAGATTCTTATAGGCCTAACCAAGGGAAAAGTTCAATGAAACTTCAACTGAGAATATGTTTTATTACTATGTCTGCAAGGCAAACTTCAAACATCCCTTTCCAGTAACTTTTGAGAGGCCTATTGTCTCCATCCCCTTCTATCCCACCTAATATAATAAATCTATTTAAGATTTTTACTTGTATATCTCTAAGACTAATTTTGGGAAAAAGTGTATTGCATAAGCTGACAGGTTGAAGTTTTAGGTAAGAAAGGGATGTTATGTGGTACAGCTTGCAAGTACTAAATGCTGCATGCTTGTGTGCATATAAAATAAAAAATTAATTATTATTTATCATTGGGGAAAGGTAAGAGCATGCAATGTGTCATGATGAAATGGTCCAGTTTCTGCCAGGATTGTAATTACATGCAACAAAAGCCAATGTCTCTGAGCAAGGAAAAGCTTGCTTTCCCTCTTGGGGAGGAGGGGGGCAGGCATGAGAGAGAAATTCATATTCCATATAAAATCTAGGAGTTTTGATTTTTTACTTTAAAGACATCTATGACTGGATCTCTTTTCTTTCCCATAGCATGCTCCATCTGTTACAAGTCTCAAGTTTACATTGAGGCTAAGTGATGAATGCTTCGGTAGTGCTGAGGCCTCTGGTTAGAACCAGTCTCCGACTGCCATGCCTCATTCCAAATTCGGTATCTTTCTGTGCTACCTCATCTCATGAAGTGGGTTCCAATAAGTTTTTTGAAGAGGCTTTGTCCAAGAACAAGGTGGTTGTCTTCATGAAAGGTGTTCCTGATGCCCCCAAATGTGGCTTCAGCAACGCTGTTGTGCAGATCCTTCGAATGCATGGAGTAAACTATGACAGCTATGATGTGCTTGCTGATGAGCGCATCCGCCAAGGTAACATCTTGAATCTCAGTTACTTTTTATTTTTATTTTCTGAGAGGTATTTATTTGCCTGTCATCTCACTCAGGTGTGAAGGAGTATTCCAGTTGGCCAACCATCCCTCAAGTATTCATAGGAGGGGAGTTTGTAGGTGGATGTGATATCATCCTCCAGATGCATCAAAATGGAGATCTGATTGAGGAACTAAAAAAAGCAGGCATCACATCCACACTCTTGGAAAAAGACCCAAAAAGCCACTAAATCCAAAGATGGTGAATAATGCCTTCTCTGTGTAACTTTCACAGTATAGGTGAGGATTGCCTCTAGGTTTTATGAAGGTCATATGAATACTGTGTCATATTCTTGATGTTAGGCAAGTGATGTGGCCAGGTAGATTGTTTACAATAAATCTTCCATATATTTCCTGATTTCATTTCCCATGATGATTTTGGCTTTATGGCTGTGATCACGAGTGCAGTTGACAATTGAATCTTTTGAGGCAGGCTCAACATTTTCACAGCTTGTTTTTCATCTATCATGAGATATATGAGGAATAAATAATTCTGACTTTTCACTTACTTTTTACTTTCCTCTCATGTCTTAAAAATTTGTTACTAGTGCAGAAATGTAAAAAACTGCCCTCTCAGACAAGGATATTTATTACTTTGTCAGGGTACAAGCATTTTAGAGGACTATTCTCATCCCTCGTATCTCCTAGCGTTTCCTGTATTAAGGAAGAATTTTTGTATTTCATGGATCACACTCATGTAGGATTGCAATAATGAAAACTACTCCTGTCTGTTCCAAGTCTGAAGAGCACTGTTGTTGATAAGCAGTGCAATTCCATTAAATTGAAAGAATTTCATCATTTTAGTTCATGATTCACCATTTTCAATTTGAATGGCAGTGCAGGCATTTATACTGTTTCTCCTTTTTAGATATATGAGCAAAATTCAATATTTCTTCACTTGTATATGATATATGTTGTGATAGTTTTATTCACTTATATGTGGATGTGAATGTGTTTGTCTATAATTAGGTTAATATGACAGTGAACCATGCAGAAAAAGAAAGAATGCTGGTTGTAGTTAACATTACGAGTTCTTATCCTGAATTTGGGACAAGTCATGTTTGGCAGAATATGTATGATTGTCAGAAAAACTCAGTGCACTATGAAATAGATTACAATTTGATAATTGACTGTAGTCAGAAGTAGTGTGGAGATGCCTCCCACTGGGGGAACTAGTACCAGAACTGGTAGCATACACAAAGGGAGGCTCATGGAGGTTCAGTCCCCACCATTTATAATTCAACTGCCTTAGCAGTGAGGTTCCCCCTTCTACATGTCCCGCATGAAACACTGACAAGTACTGTGAATTGGGCTTTTTTCCCCTGTCAAATCCTAATTTAAATGTGGTTTGTTACTACCATTTCTTGATTGGATTGTCCTGAGGGAGAGATCAAAGCAAAGTTTATCAGATGAACCCATGCACGATTGTTGTGCATTTGAGAAAGAGTTCCTTGCTAAGGGGACCTATTTGAGGCTTGAACAAACAAATGAGTAGGAGGATCTGAATTTATTGCATCTCAAAAACATGCATTTTTACGACATTTTTGTATTGACTTTCCCGATGAGGCAGAAATGCAAAGAACGTTTCATATTATTTTATTTTAATATTTCAAAGTCTTGAAATAATTATTTCGTTGATATACAAATCTAGCTCTAATGCCATGTTCATGAAGACTCTACTAGTTACACGGATTCGACAAAAATTCTGCCAACGTAAACATATCCTTTTTATGCAGCACGGTTTTCACCGTAGCAGACTTCTCAGGTGACAGACAATGACAAACTATTTCGCAGTACAAAGGTCTTTTCATTTTTCACGTTAGTCTGAACCTACGGAACCTCGTACCTAAGAAGGCTACAACGTAAATATAACTGAGAAACGTGCAAGAACAAGGGGAGAAAAAAAAGAAAATACATTATGTACGTCATTATTTGCAGCGTCAACTGCAAATTCAGTTTCTTTCCGAGTTACTCGTCATTTTCCGCCATCACCAACTGTCGCATACAACCAAATCCATCAACGAGCTCTTGCGAGTGCAGCCGCGATCCGTTCACAAAAGACGTAGACGCTGAGCATCGAGACTCCGAGGACCATGCCCGTGAATCCTCCGATCTCTGCCGCGAACTGCATCGCAGAATATGCCCACTGCTCCTCGAACACTTCCACCTGAGAGATATATATCAACTGTATTCATCCTAAGGTCTTTCAGTAGAAAACAACTGGCAGTAAAAAAAAAATGCCGAGTTTACGACGAACGCAGTCTCCAATGCCGAACCGGACTGCGATGATTAGGAGTGGAATTGAGTGGACTCACCCGACTCGAATCGAAGTAGGAGTAAAGATAGGAGAAATTGGACTTCACATTCATGCGTCGAAGATTGGGTCGAAAGGAGAAGGAATACTCGACCATGTCGCATGATCTCGGGCAGTCGCATCCGATTTCATTCAATATCGACATCCTCAAGGCTGACTGGTATCGACTCACGAACTCTTGGTAAGGACCCTCTTCCCCATTCCCAGTGCAAGGTGGTTTTTCTGAGGGCACATGCAGCAATTCTGGCACGACGCAGGTCGCGTTCCTCAGGAGCCATTCTGATAGGCAACGCTCGCTGCATACAGAGGATAAAAATCAACGGTTAATTTTCGTCAGAAAACGCAGATGCACTTTCAGAAAAATCAAGCTGTCCCTCAATTTTTCGTTTGCTTACGTGCTATTCTGAATGGTAACATACAGGTATGCATGATAGAGACTGAGCATTGTTGAAGTGGGGGTAATATCGTCAAAAAGTGGCAAGAGAAACATGAAATAAATATCTCATGCTGTTTTTTTGTTAGAGTCATCAATCTGTATTGCGCTTGTTATCCTGTCTCCTGAATGACTGCAACATTTTCAAGTCGACTTTTGTCGCTTGTTGACCTCTTTGACCTCTGACCTCTTTTGTTGTTTCATCTGTTTTTGCTCATCAGCACTTGTGATCATACAGAAATAATAGTACTTTCTGTTTTCCTAAAAAACTTGTCATTTTCGACCGTCTCAAAGATAAGTGATTGTAAACTTTCCTCGGAAAGTACACGTTTGATAGAGTAGCATCCAATAAAGGAACGAATTATGAATGGGCGAAAGTGCCTGCTCATGACGGTTTTAATAGCTTAAGCATTTCAGTCCTTGAAACAGAACTAAAATTAGAATTTACTTTTTTTTTGTTGTCAGGCTTAAAAGCTCCATGGAAGGTATCAAGCAGACATCCTTGGTTTCTGTGCCGTAACTTACCTTCATCTGATTGTAGGCATGATCATGCCGGCAGGGTTTTCCGGGCTTGTCGAGGAACACCAACCTCCGTACCCTGAGGACGGCGTCGACTGTCTCACCGAAGGAGAGCTGAGACCTGGAATGACTCGTCTTGTCGATGTCAGACACGGAGCTTCTCGGGTCGTGGATCATCATGTTCACCGTGGCGTTGCGGGGCTCGTCCGTCGCGAAGGTGAAGAGGTAGCCTGACAATGTGCCCAATGAGATGCTGATGTTCGGGTTGAAGGTATAGCAGCGGCACACCTTGCAGAATTTTCGACAAATGTCCGTGTCAGCAAGGGATCGTTGTTCCCAAAAACCGACTGAGGAAGGAAATACATTTTCAATGCCATCGAAAGAGGGCAACGTGGGGTAAGGGGGATGTAACAGATCAGTAATGCGATGGCTTAATGTGATAATTACCTTGTGTGTGGAAAGGTAGACGCGAACGGGGTGTGAGAGTATAGTTCGCCAGCTTGGATAGACGTATGAAATCCGTGGCTTCGTAATGGATTCTATCCTTCACTTTCGAGTTGGGATCGAGGCAAAAGGTAAAAGCAGGTGCCACGAGGGTCCGGTTATTCTCGATTGAAAACAGCGTCGTTGTCGGCGATTCCTGGTATTTCAAGCTCAGCAGGCAAACCTAAGAGAGATGCATATTATCTTTAACCCAGAATGTATTGGCAAAGCTCACAGCTATAATTTTAGTATTTTAGGTTTCCATGTATAGACATGCCCAATAATCCCGAATAAAGAAACTGAGATCTCCTTAGAGACCTGCTTCTCCGCGATCCACGGTGTTCGTTTATAAGTGTTCGTTTGTGAAGACCTAAAACCCGTCAGATGAGTGTGGTCTGGCATTCTTCAATCCCAAGAAATTCCAAAAACGCCATCCCATCCGACCCGACCTTCCGAAACCCAGTTCCAACGGCCAATTCCAATGCTAAATTTCATTTTAGGCATACTTTCTAATAATTTCTTTGCCATCAATTTTGAACCACTAAACCTAAAGCAGAAGTTCTGCGTGTCCTATCGTCAGTTTCACGATCACGCTAAGATCAGGTCGGAAAATATTCTTCTGAATTCATCTGAGCAATCGTGCCATTTTGAATTTGACCGCGTTTCGTAACCTCCGAGGCAAGCCACGACCAGGCTGCAAGAACAGGCTTCTCTTTTATTAAATATCATTCTTCCCATCTCCAACGGGGTAACCAGGCATTAACTACAGAGACAATCTTCCACGCGAGAGTACCGCACCCATAACCGAAGAGGAAAAGATGAAAATGCAAATGCTGACCTGGACCGCGGCGAAGGAGAAGGAGACGAAGAGCGCGACGGCATAGGCGAATCTCTGCCAGCCCGTCCGACCCTCGAACACCGCATCGCCGATGGGGACTCGCGGCCAGAACGTCGCTGGTGGAGACGATGCCGTTCGTGAGAAAGTATGGGGGAATTTCCTGGCATTTCTTTGAGAAATGTATTGTGAGATCCACTCGAGGAACGGGAGTTTCGTTCGTCTCTTTTCTCATTCCTTCTTCGGCGATCGTTTCTTCGTTTTTTTTTTTTGACAATGGCATATACCCGGCTTCTTCTATTTAGACGAATAGATCAGTCAACTATGACTGTCAGATGAACATCAGTCGACTCACAATGCTTCTTTTAATCGCATGAATTGTGCATTAAATTGAATTGAGTTCATTTCCACTAGAATAACTAATGGAACTCCGATTTTAAGGATTAGAGAAACTTTCCTCACGTTGTCCAGGACATGAACGGCTTGTTTTTTCCCAGTCCCGTATCCGACTAAATTTTTTTTACGTTTCATCTGCAGAATCACAGCATCTAGATAGAGAGGAGGATCTTACTCTGGTCTGGATCCTTGCTGCCGTGCTTGGATAGCCAGGCCCCTCGAGGCTTGGGAGGCTCCTTGGGCGCGTGGGTCATGGCGGGGTTCGACTGGACTGAGTGGGACCTAATTTCTCTTCGCATCCTTTGGTTCTTTTCTCCATTGTCAGCGTTTCTCACGATATTCAGCGCGACGGGCAGCTGACGGCATTCATCGCAGGACGAATCGATAGCCATTACATGCTTGTTTCATGGTGTTTCGTTTTAAAGGGCCTCGGACCTGAGAAAAATTGTAAGCTTGTTATCTGGGATACCTATAGGTACTACAGGGAAATGCCAGATATTGCGGTCGGTCTGTCGCTTTTTTTT